TATAACCTCAAAAGTACTATGGTAATCGGTATTCAAGATCTTTTTTCCAAAGATATTATTTATTGACATCTTTAGTAAATCCAATAACTATAGTTATAGGTATAGAGTCTATACTATCTATAGAGGTCAGCAACTCTATAATGAGTTACTAAGAACCAGAAATATAATAGAAAAAGTATTTGGAATTTGGAAAAGAAGGTTTCCAGTGTTGGCATATGGCTTAAAATTAAAACTTGATACAGTTTTGTCCATTATTTCAGCTGCAGCTGTATTACATAATATTGCTAGAGATATGAATAAAGCAGAGCCGCCATTGCCTGCTGAACTGTTGCTACTCATCCACAAGATCGCATTATGTTTCAAAAGCAATTAATACAAGATCATTCCTTTTTCATCCTTTGTATTGTTAATTTACTGCTCTAATTGTTTTAGTCCTATATTTCTCTTTGTTTTCAATGATACCCTTGCATCCACAAGATTAATTAAATGATTTTTTTTTCATTTTCTGAAAAATTTGAGTAGTAATTTTTTCAGGTTCTGTATCCATATTATTTTCTCTTACCATCAACTGAATCGGTCGTACATGAAATAGAATCGAACCACAGATGATAAAGAATCGAACCACAGATTATAAAGAATCGAACTCTTAACGTCAAACTATATTTGCGTCACAAATAAGTGTGAAGTTAGTTATTAGCACCAATCTTTTCCATTTTTTAGTCAAATTCTCTAGATCACTAGTTAAATTTTAAACTATAGTAAAAAAATCACGTTGCAAGATTTTGGACACAAATCTCCTGTTACCTTTTAACTTGGTAGTTTATTTAACTGATCAGTTAGAGAAAACGGTGCAAGTGGCCATTAATGCACCAACCAATACTTAGGTTAAGAATTAATTAAATTAGGTTTATTGTTCCCATTAATTTAAACGATCATTATTATATTTATTATAGTGTAGTTATTCTCTAATAAATATCTAATATTATAATATACCTATAGGTCTTTACTTAAAACTCAAAAGAAAAATCTCAAGGACCATTATATCTTATAAGGGACTTTCTGACGTAGTGCAACGTGTTGTTTCGAACAACAAACTCGCGTACACTTAAGTATAAAAATGAATTACTATCAGGTTACCGCGAAGCGGTAAAGTGATCTTTATTAATTTCGTAGACAGCATTAACAACTACCAACTACGCGAGCGGATGGGCGAAGGGTAGCGAATCCTTCTGCATTATACGGCAACCGAAGGAGTAGTTAAATCGAGTTGTTATCGATCCATCTTGGAAACAACACATCGTATTTGATTAGCCAAATTAGACCCTTTAGATTCAGATAGTTAACCTAGTTAAGAGACTTGCTAGTTGCATTTCTCCCTATCTCGCAGCCGAGTGCCTTTGACTTACCCCGTCAAGAAAATACTGATTTCCAATTAGGGTACAATGAACTGTGAATACCCTTGAGGGTATGTGATTAACTGGCAATCATTATCTCTAAGTTAACTACAGGTTTATAAGTTTGTCAATTTGCTTTTTAGAAAAATATGAGACTAGCGATAGGTACCAACTTTCAAAAACAACATTTTGTCATTTTACTACATTTGATTTAAAAACAAACAATTTTCTAAATAATTATATAATTATTTTTTAGTATATATTGTCAGTTTTCAAATCAAACGGGTAAAAGAGTGGATGTGCGAGTTCGAGCGCTCTTAGTTCCTTTCCACAATAAAATTCTTAAAGAAACATAAATATTATATACTGTGTAGTCGAGTAAAGTGCGGTGTGAAACAGTGCTACTATTTTGGGTTACCTGTACAGGTGAAATCAGGGTACCTGTTCTCCAAAGGGTTAATAGAAACATTAAATAATTCCTCAAAAGGCAATCTCTCAACAGTGAACACAGGGTGAGGTCCGTGCGGACAAGAATAAAGTGACAGGAGACAGGTCAAGGAATCACCTATTTAAAGAAATAACGAGTCTAACCAAGAGTGGAAGGGATCATCACCTGCAGATTCTGATAAGTATCATTGCATGACCTAATACGCAATTCTGCAACAAAAACCTGGCAACAATTAATCATTACATAACAGCGTAGAAGTGTAAAAAAACAAATCAAGTAAGAACGTCACAATATTATATTATTGTATTATATATATTATATAATATACGCAGGCCAGCCACAAATTAAAGCTTTAAAAGATAACGAAAGTAAATAAACAGTCTCTTAATAAACAATACGACCACGTTAAAGTCTAACGTAAACAAACCATCTATTAAAGCATACGTTACACGCCTGCCATTAGGGACGTATTTCAAATTTTAATACGATACACCACAGGGCCGGCTTTATCTATTTTGTATATTAATATTTATATTTTTAAATTAAATTTGGAAAAAGTAAGAATGCAAAGATATAAATTAAATAATAATAAACGGTATAAACACTAATTTAACAATCAAATAAATAAAGAATATACAAGGTCGATAGTCGGTACTCGGCATGAGGGGTTGAATATCCACGAAGGCAGAGGGCACATACGGAGGGTCGTGGCCATAGGGCTGTATCCCAATTACGTACACTTCAGGGCCAGCTTTATCTATTTTGTATATTATTATTTATATTTTTAATTAAATTTGAAAAAAAAGTAAGAGTGCAAAGATTTAAATTAAATGTAAACGGTATAAACACTAACTTAACAATAAAATAAATAAAGAATATACAAGGTCGGTAACAGGACTAGGACAGAGACGTTTAGAAGTTCACCAACAAGGACAGGTTCTAGCAGCGTAGTAACACCCCGACCCCCATTATTGAATCCCAATTGAATGGGGTTATTACTAAAGCCCCGGTTGAGGAGGATTCCGGATTGTACTTAGTTTTGAGTCAGTTCAATGTCCTCCAAAAACCATTTTTTACCATCCTTGTCCCGCTCTCCACTAGCCTAAACTGGACGTATGGCCCGACCCGGCGACAAAAATCCAGGTAATGCTGTGCAGTGGCGGGATACGTAGGAAAACGGAAAAGGGGTAAAATAACCCTGGATTAGTGTAAGGTAATTTCGATGGGGCCTGCCATACGTTCCCATACTCTTAATCATTATTTTTTAATATATATTGTAACACAAGAACGTGAATTTAAAAAGCTAAAAAATTGAATTTAAACGCGACAACATTGCGAGTTCTTAATAGTTCGTTTCTATATATGGTAACGCTTTTCGCTTTTGGAAGTGGCAGTGACAGTTCTAAATGCAGTGTTTTTTATATCTAAAGATCAGTTGTGAAAACAAATAAAGTCCAGTACAAAGAAAAAATATTTATAGGAAGGTATGGAAGCATACAACAAAGTAACAGAAAACATGCAGACTGCATGAAGCAGTATGTTAAATGCAGCGAAAGTCTAAAAAAGAGGATTGTCTAATTATTTAAAAAAATAACTTAATAAAATTGTGTATTTTTTAATAATTTACTTTAAAAACGAAATTATGGTACACAGAGAAAAGTAATCTCTTGATTTTACTATATTTGGCTTGGCTCAAATATATTATTTATTTCGATATCTACAAGAAGATATTTATTTAGTGGAAAACTTGGATTTATTTGACTTTTTAAACTAATATTTGGTTAAGACAAGTAAATATCTAGTTGACTTTTTATCTCAGGTTTAGTAGAAGAAACAAAACCTACATCCAAACAATTTAATTAATAGCTCTAAATAAATATTTCTTTACAATTAATCACAACAATAAGTTGTTTTCAAGAAACTTATGATTTACGACCAAATACTAGTATTTTTTTTATTGTAAACAACAAGTTACTACAAATTAGAAAATTTTACTTTATACAAGAAAACCTGTTTCAAATAAATGCATTTTCTTAAATCAAGAGATTACTTTTCTCTGTGTAGTCACCAAATAAATCAAACCCAATATTCCTAGATTAATCATGTGTTCGTAATCCAGTGTTGCCGGGTCTTCTAAAAGAAAATGACAGATTAATAATTTTGGTTGCACACAGTCAACATTATCGTTCAATATTGCAAAACTTTGCGGTCTAAAAACTTATATGGCAGTGCTTGCATACAGGAAAAAAATTGTAATGTCATGTTATAATATATGCATTAATTAAAGACATGGGCTGTATAGGAGATGTATATGTCAGAAATTTATGAAATTGCAAAAAAAACAATTCTTTGAATTTTTACAAAAACTCTAATTTTTTGATTGAGTATCTAGCAAAGATTTCTCCATCCTAAAAATAATGTTTTTGTAGAGCTCTTTAATTAAATTTTCCAGTATTAAATATTACATTTTGAACCATTCAAATAATTCAAACCATTGATTCGTCTCGAATAATTTGGAAATTCAAATATTGGCACACCCCAATTATTTATGCTAAAAAGTGAGTGTTCTAATTAAAAAAAAACGATAAACATCTATAAATGTATGTGTTAAATATCACAATGTTCTTTAACAAATTGAATGGCGATGATTAGTATATTATATTACAACAAATGTAAGTAGCATATTACGCGCGAGCGGCACGGTTACTAAACACGACGCCGCTTGCGGCGAGTGTGAAACACTGCGAGTTGCTTAATTGCTTTTCATGTCGCGGAATATACTATACTTATTTGCGAGTGCTAAATTTTACATTTTCATTATAAAAACATTTATTTTTTAAATTATCGTTAACTACAAGCAAAAAGGGTAATTATTATACATTACCTTTATTACATAACAGTGTACACTGTACAGAATGACCACCTTATGTTCCAAGTTGACAGGACTTTTATTAACAATTTGTCACCTACAACACGTATCTAAGTGCAAATCGAGCTGTTATTAAAGCCGGATCAACGAAACACCGTTTGGAGTGTAAAATGACACGTGACGTGAAACGTGTGTAGGTCAGTTAGGCAGGTCGAAGCGGTATTCGACAATTCGGATAGATCGAATTATTTCCGTATGTGTGTGCCTGACATTCTGTGTATTGTTGCAGGTCGGCAGTTTGCAGGGTTTCTACTTGTTCGAGCACAAGCACGTGCACAAGCGGTCCCTCCAGGCAGACGATTTCTACCACCAGTCGCTGATAACGGAGCCCCAGGTTAGTATCTTTATAGTTATTGCTCGATATACCTCGATGGTAGTGCTGGTGTTTTTGATGGGATCCGAGAAAATTACCTGCGGTTTTATGTAATAGACATTTAGTCTGAATGCCTTTCATTTTAATGTTAAGTAATTTTGCTTGTTTTATAGAATAATGCCAATAAAAACTGGCTAATAGGTATAATAGGTACATATTATATATTATGTACCGTTAAGGAATTAAAAAAAAATATTGAAAATTGTAAAATGTAGGAAATTATATTTGGACGAGATTAAACCAACCAGTACTAGACTACACCACGTTTAAAAGATCGAAAACCATACCTGACAAGTTGTGCCAGATTGCACGGGTAAAATCGTAAAAAAAATTATTGTGTAATCTGTAATTACAATTATTAGGTAGTATTGTTTATATAAATCCACCTAGTTTCTACTAAAATCAATATATTTTTTAATTAATAGTTTATTATGTATCAAGTTTGATAAACGCCATTTTATACACGAATTTAATTTAGGCACGAGCGAGCTTGCGAGCGAGTGCTTAAATTAATTAATTAATACTATACTTTTTCTACGACAAATACTTATTATTATCTTAAAATGATTTAAATCAAATTTTGTATAGAGCGCCATCTATGAAACAATAGGGGAATCTGTGTTTCACCGTCAAATGTCAAATTTTTTATTTTATAAACACAGATTATAAAGGTTATAAATTGAAATGTATTTCTTGAAGATTGACAGTTTTTCACAGTGAAAGTAAAGAAAATGTTCTATGAGCACTTTACAGTGGAGTCCGTGTCCGAATTTAAGTTATAGTTTACTGCCGGCGAAATTAAAAGGTCAGTACAATGTTCATATAAACTTTTCAAAAATTGGCGTTGAGAAACTATTTAATACTTATTTTTGTATTGAGATAATAAAATAATTTTCACATTTAGTATTATTTTACAAGGCACTTTATTTTAACGGTTGTATGACATTTGACAACTGTCAACTAACTTAAAACTAACTTCAGCTCGTGACTAAAAATCTGTTGCTAACTTCAGCCCGTGACTAAAGCGCCATAAAGCCACAACTTGTCAATGTGTATTTTAAAGGTCTCTTAGTGTCATGAAAACATGTACGATAAAGGGCGTTTTAAAGGTGGGAGTAGAAAAAATAATTTATTTTATTATAAAATTATGATCTTTTATCCCGTGAAATAACGTAAACCGGCAAAATTTGATGGTGCATATATATGTATATGTAAAATGCATATTTTGACGTTGGCGCATGATTTGATTATTTTAATATTTTTCGTGCATATTTTTGGATTTTTCATAAGCATGCTTGCATATTTTTCCCCCTTCCCATGCAAGAAAGCGGCTGAGAAAGCACATTCCTAACATTTGCGCCATTTCACTAATAATATTAACCTTGAGCTACTCTCTTAAAATGAATTAGTCAAAAATAACTAATTATAAGTCATTTTTGACTAATTGTCATAGCGAAAAAGCAGTCACTAATAACACTGTGCAACACAAAAAATGAACTGGGATCAAATCTGAAAAAATCGAATCTAGGCAACCCCCAAAACAAATCCTTTAAGGGGTTTTACCAGTTTAGCTCGAATAATGGAGATATACAGGGTGTTTCTTTTAACTTGAGACAGCTCAATATCTCGAGAAATACGCATTTCACGGAAAAATGTCTTAAATAAAAGGTTAATTTGACTAAAGGGGACATTATTTGGTGCTACCGCTAGCCACCCCCTACCCCTCCTTAAGGGTGAAATGGGGGGTAACTTTGGAAAGTCAAATGGAATGACCCGATTTTTTTCACAGAGTTTGGTAGTACATAAAAAAAAAATAACTTTTATTTAAAACTTTTTTCAATTTATCAACAGATGGCGCTGTAATTCAAAATTTAAGAAAAATGAGTTTCCTTGTAAAATGTATTATTTGAAACGTTTGAAAAACAAAAATTAACATTAACAACAATAGTCGGCTATGAAAACAATTTATAACAAATGTTCGAAATGTCGTCATTCCATTTTAACACATTTTTGAATGCGGGTAATGAATTCTGGCACACAACGCGCCAACATGTCGGGCGGTATCGCCGCACAGGCGTTCCTGATCCGCTCCACCATGTCCTCCCAAGTTGTAGGAATTGCAGCGTAAACTTTTTCTTTCAAGTAACCCCACTGGAAGAAGTCTGGTGGCGTAAGATCAGGTGATCGAGCAGGCCAAATTACTGGACCACATCTACCGATCCACCGCGGTGCACCGGCCATTTAACTCCCGATCCAACACCTCTCGAGCAATTGTCGAATAATGTGCAGGACAACCATCTTGCTGGTACCACATGTTTTGGAGCCGTGCTAGTGCCCAGACAGCACACAATATCCATTGGATATCCATTGGATATACCTATATCCACTGAATGTCCAGTCCATGAACGGATATCCAGTGGACATCCAATGGATATACTTTAGGGATATTAGCATAAGGACAATTTGCGTCAAAATTGACTAATAAATATTAGAGACAAATATATTAATACATTATTGACACATGCCTTGATATTTCTAATAATTTACTTTGAAATAAATAAAACTTGGAAAATGGATATCTAATGGATATCTAATGGATATCCAGTGGATGTCCACATAGATATTATAACTACATATCTAGAGCCACAGATAAAAAAGGATTGTTTCAGTTAAAATTATTCTAGACGTTTTTTAAGCATTATGTTTATGAGATACAACCTATGAAATTAGAAGTATAATTTAATGTAAGTTTTCATGGATATCTAATGTATATCTAATGGATATCCACTATTTTAGAATACGTCACATGAGACTCTCGAGAATCATTGGCCAGGCCGACGCGCTTGCGTATTGTGCTCCCATGTCTCTGCGCAAACAACAAACACCGTGAAACGTTTATTTTTATATGTCTGCCGTTTTAAGATTGTGTCAGTTTTCGCATCATATTTATTGTTTTTACGGTAGGTAAGTGCCTTTATTTCTTGTTTGGTTGTGTGGTATTGTGGTGTATAGGTGTCTTTCATATTGCACACACACATTACATTGGGATTTTGGTTTTTATTTGAGGCCTTGTTTATTTACCGGCTTCTGTTAACTATGGCGGGATGTTTTTTATTACTTTAGCTAATACCTACCTAGGTAAAACTACTAATTTATTAGACATGCATGTGTATTAGATGTCTGCTTGTACAAGTATGTTTACTTTATAAAGTAAACTATTACAATAATTATTATTGTAAATTAGGTAATTTTTTTTCTTTTACAGAAAGAAAAACAATGATATAATGCCTCTACCAGAATAAATTATAATTTAATTAATAAGTTAATAAATAATAATTTTGTTTATAATTATAAATAAAATATTATAAACATATTCATTGATGTTTTTCTATACCTTTCAATCAAAATACAATTAATTCATGTCAAATATATATCTATATAAAATATTTACATATGTACACAATGTGTACTATACACATGTGTACAGTGGATTGCCAAATTATTAAAGACAGTAGCAATTTCTTTCAAAATCGAAGTTTGGATGTAGTTAATGAGAAAAATAATTGACCATTTTTAAGTTTTTTTTATTTTGTATATTTGCTCTTATTGCCTGCTATATTTTTTCAAAATATACAATTTTTTTATTCATATATTATATTTTTAGTATGTAATGTAATGTTTTTTTTCTACTACCTTACTAGAAAACTTAATTTTCCACCCCCGAGAGGAAAAAAAATTTCCACCCTCTCTTTTTTTAACAATTTTACATAAGCAAGAGTTTTTGTAGCTTGTCTATCCATATTTGATTTTGTATTTTCACATCGCTCTTTCGATTTTTAAGGAAATATTCTTGCCTTTTTAGCAAGATCTTGCGGCAGGTCTTCTTCGCTAGAACTCATTTTCAAAACGTAGGAAGAATTTCAAATTCATGATAAACATTCTGACATATTATAAAAACTGTTATGTTTGTATTTCCAAAAATACCATAGCAACAAATCGTTGTCAACATAACGTCGTCAACGCAACAACTACTTAATATTTTATAGCCCCATACCGGGTTAGTAAAAGGAACCGGAACGCTTAAAATGTCTTAAAACCGTTAAATGGTAATAGAAAAAACTATATACATACCTCAGGAGGAAAATGCGTTTCCTCCCTTGAATATTTAATGCCCTTCGCTTCGCGTCGGGCATCAAACTATTCGCGGGAGCAAAAGCACTATTTTCCTCCCATGGTATGTAAATAGCTATTTAATTAACTAAAAATAAATACAACATAAGTATAACATTCAAAAAATATAAATAGATAATCCATTAAAAAAAAACATTTAAAATCGCCATTTTTCACAGGGTATAAAATATTATATATTTTGAAAAAATATAGTATCAACATGTTGGTACTGCAGCATACATATATGTATGTTATAACAAACTCAACAAGGCTCAGATATTTTTCTCACTACATCCAACAAAAATTTAAAATTGGAATATATCCAATGGATATCCACTGGATATCTATGTGGATATCCATTGGATATTTGCTATATCCTGGATATAGGCGGACATTTGGATATCTATAGGATATCTAATGGTTATCCATGAATATCCAGTGGATATCTTGGATATCCAAAAAGTATATCCAATGGATATCTAATGGATATTTTGTGCTGTCTGGGTGGTACATCCTCCAAAAGGTCCGTCAGATCGTTTTCTAGAAAATTCCGGTACTTTTCGCCATTTAATGCACCTTGAATAAAGAAGGGTCCGTTTAATCGTTCGCTTAAGGTACCGCACCAAACGTTTACCGACCAGGGACGCTGGTGCTACACTTGGTGTCGAAATGGAAGGACGACATTTCGAACATTTGTTATAAATTGTTTTCAGAGCCGACTATTGTTGATTTAATGTTAATTTTTGTTTTTCAAACGTTTCAAATAATACATTTTACAAGGAAACCCCTTTTTCTTAAATTTTGAATTACAGCGCCATCTGTTGATAAATTAAAAAAAACTTTCAAATAAAAGTTATTCATTCTTTTATGTACTACCAAACTCT